GTATGGAATTTTATCAGAAAAATAAAAATTGACCTGCCTTTTGACCCAGCAATTCCACTGCTAGGATTATACCCCAAGAATCCTAAAACATCAATTTCAAAGAACCTATGCACCACATTGTTCATAGCAGCACAATTTACAATAGCCAAGAGTTGGAAGCAACTTAGGTGCCCATCAGTAAATGAATGGATCCAAAAATTGTGGTACATATACACCATGGAATTCTATGCAGCAGAGAGAAAGAAGGAGCTACTACCTTTTGCAACAACATGGATGGAACTGGAAAGCATTATGCTGAGTGAAATAGGCCAGGCATTGAAGGACAAATACCATATGATCTCACCTTTGACAGGAAGCTAAAGAATAAAACAAACAAGCAAACAGAATAAAAACAAAGACGCTGAAATAGAGAACAAGTGGACAGCGACCAGAGAAGAGAGGGAAGGGAACTTAAGGGGAAAAAGGGGGAGGGATTTTGAGGAACAAGTATGAAAGACACAGAGATGAGGACTGGGGGGGGGAATGGGAGGGAGGGGGGAGACCGGGCGGGGGGGGAAGAGAAAAAAAATGTACTTGAAAAGTAACTAAATAAAATTTAATATTAAAAAAAAAACAATGAATGGGTCAAGAATAAAATTAGGGAAAAAATCAAAACGTTTCTGGAAACAAATGAAAATGATCTCACAACAACCCAAAACTTATGAGACACAGGGAAGGCAGTCCTGAGAGGGAAGTTTATAGCAATACAGGCCTACCTAAAGAAGATAGAAACATTTCAAACAAACTGCCTAACCCTACGCCTGCAAGAATTTGAGGAACAACAACAAAGACAGCCCAGAGCAAGCAGAAGGAAGAAAATAACCAAGATTAGAACAGAATTAAATGACATAGAAACTAAAAGCAGAATTCTAAGGATCAATGAATCCAGGAGTTGGTTCTTTGAGAAGATAAACAAAATAGACAAGTGTATAAGTAGGCTCATCAAGAAAAGAAGAGAGAGGACACAAATAAACACAATCAGAAATGAAAGAGGAGAGATTACAACTGATACCACAGAAATAGAAGAGATTGTAAGAAATTACTATGAAGAACTGTATGCCAAGAAATTTGAAAACCTAGGGGAAATGGACACATTTCTAGAAAAATACAATCTTCCAAACCTCAGTGAAAAAGAAGCAGAAAATCTGAATACACCAATAAAAGCAAAAGAAATTGGAGCAGTAATCCAAAAACTCCCATCACACAAAAGCCCTGGACCAGATGGTTTCACAGGAGAATTCTACAAAGCATTTAAGGAAGAACTAACCCCTATTCTTCACAGACTATTCCAAAAAATCCAGAAGGATGGAAAACTCCCAAATTCTTTTTATGAAGCCAGCATCATCTTAATTCCAAAACCAGATAGGGACAAAACAAAGAAAACTTCAGGCCAATATCGCTGATGAACATAGATGCTAAAATCCTCAACAAAATATTGGCAAATCGCATCCAACAATATATCAAAAAGATCATACACCATGACCAAGTGGCATTCATCCCAGGGATGCAAGTATGGTTCAATATTCACAAATCAGTAAATGTAATACATCACATAAATAAAAGCAAAGACAAAAATCACATGATCATATCAATAGATGCGGAAAAAACTTTCTATAAGGTACAACACCCATTTACGATAAAAACACTCAGCAAAGTGGGAATACAGGGAGAATTTCTCAAAATAATAAAGGCCATATATGAGAGACCTACAGCCAATATCATCCTCAATGGACAAAAACTAAAAGCTTTTCCACTAAGATCAGAAACAAGACAAGGATGTCCACTTTCACCACTTGTATTCAATATAGTATTGGAAGTTTTAGCCACAGCGATCAGGCAAGAAAAGGAAATAAAAGGCATCCAAATAGGAAAGGAGGAAGTAAAACTGTCACTGTTTGCAGATGACATGATAGTGCACATGGAAAATCTTATAGACTCTACCTAAAAACTGCTCAAACTAATTAATGAGTTTGGCAAAACAGCTGGTTACAAAGTCAATATCCAGAAATCAAAGGCACTTTTGTATACCAACAGTGAATCAGCAGAAGCAGGAATCAGGGAAAAAATCTCATTGGATATAGCAAAAAGAAAAATAAAATATCTGGGAATAAACCTAACCAAGGAGGTAAAAAACCTGTATGCAGAAAACTACACAGCCCTGAAGAAAAAAATCAAGGAAGACACAAACAAATGGAAATATATACCGTGTTAATGGATTGGAAGAATTAACATCATCAAAATGTCCATACTACCCAAAGCAATATACAGATTCAATGCAATCCCTATTAAAGTACCAATGGCATATTTCACAGACATAGAACAAACACTTCAAAAATTTATATGGAACCATAAACGACCCAGAATAGCAGCTGCTCTTTTGAGAAAGAAGAACAAAGTTGGAGAGATCACAATACCTGATATCAAACTGTATTACAAGGCCACTGTAATCAAAACAGCCTGGTACTGGCATAAAAACAGGGACATAGACCAATGGATTAGAACAGAGAGCCCAGAAATGAGCCCAACTCTCTACAGTCAATTAATATTTGACAAAGGGGGGCAGTAACATAAAATGGAGTAAAGATAGCCACTTCAACAAATGGTGCTGAGAGGACTAGACTGCTATGTGCAAAAAAATGAAACTTGAGCACCAACTTACACCATACACCAAAATAAATTCAAGATGGATAAAGACTTAAATATAAGGCATGACATTATTAAATTCCTAGAGGAGAACATTCGCAAGAAAATCTCAGATATTTCACACAGCTACATTTTTACTGATATGTCCCCTAGAGCAAGGAATATAAAGAAACAAATAAACAAATGGGATCTCATAAAAATAAAAAGTTTCTGTGTGGCTAAAGAAAACAACATTAAATGAAAAAGACAACCAAATGTATGGGAAAACATATTTGCCAATGATGTCTCAGACAAACGTTTAATCTCCAAAGTATACAAAGAACTTACATAAGTCCACTCTAAGAAGACAACCAACCCAATTAAAAAATGGGAAAAGGACTTGAACAGACACTTCTCCACGGAGGACATACAGAAGATCCAGAGACACATGAAGAAATGCTCAATATCGTTAGCTATCAGAGAGATGCAAATTAAAACCACAATGAGATACCACTTTACACCGGTCAGGATGGCTATCATAAAGAAAGCCACAAACAACAAATGTTGGAGAGTTTGTGGGGAAAAGGGGTCCTTAGTTCACTGTTGGTGGAATTGCAGACTGGTGCAACCATTATGGAAAACAGTATGGAATTTTCTCAGAAAAATAAAAATCGACCTGCCTTTTGACCCAGCAATTCCACTGCTAGGATTATATCCTAAGAATCCTAAAACATCAATATCAAAGAACCTATGCACCACAATATTCATAGCAGCACAATTTACAATAGCCAAGAGTTGGAAGCAACCTAGGTGCCCATCAGTAAATGAATGGATCCAAAAATTGTGGTACATATACACAACGGAATTCTATGCAGCAGAGAGAAAGAAGGAGGTACTACCCTTTGCAACAACATGGATGGAACTGGAAAGCATTATGCTGAGTGAAATAGGCCAGGTGCTGAAAGACAAATACCATATGATCTCACCTTTAACAGGAAGCTAAACAACAAAACAAACAAGCAAGCAGAAAAAAAAAAACAAAGACACTGAAATACAGACAAGAGAATAGTCACCAGAGGGGAAAGGAAAGGGAAGTTAAGGAGAAAAAGGGGGAGGAATTTGGAGGAACAAATAGGAAGGACACAGGGATGAGAACTAAGGGGGGTGGAAATGGGAGGGAGGTGGGGAGCACAGGGCGGGGGAGGCTGGAATGGGAGAAATAGACAAAAAAACTGTACTTGAAAAATAACTAAATAAAATTTAAAAAATAAGTAAAAAGAAAGAAAGAAAGAAAGAAAGAAAGAAAGAAAGAAAGAAAGAAAGAAAGAAAGAAAGAAAGAAAGAAAGAAAGAAAGAAAGAAAGAAAGAAAGAAAGAAAGAAAAGGAAGCTCAGGGCAGCCAGCACTGTAACATGCCTAAGAGCACATCATCATTAGGGGTTGCATCAGATGTTCGAATCTACAGCTTCAGGATCTCAGGTTATAACCCTCTGACCATACATCACTCCCTCCCTCCCATGATCTGTAATCATACACCTCTATTTGTCCTTTGAATCAGTGGAACGAAAATCTTAATGAAGTAAAAACATTAAACTTCATTATGAATTTATGACTAATTTTCTGAACTTGACCTCTCTAAGAGAGAAAATCTTTGTGAAAACAACCTTCAAAGAAGATAAGAAATTATTTCTGTTTCCCAAGAAAAAGCACCTTAGTTGCAGTCGATGGGTGAGGAAAGTCTGTTTTCCAGAGGCATCATGTGGAATTGCACCCAGACCAGGTGTTTGCAGAATCAGGAGGAACTCAGACTGAGTGTGAAATTTGTTGTTGTACCCTGAAGAAGTAAAAGAAAAACAAGAGGAATAACAGGGTGGGGGAAGAAGAGGAGGGGAGCAGGTTGGTTGAGAAGGAGGAAGAGTTGAAGGTGAAGAAGAAATAGGAAGGAGGAGGGGAGGAAGAATTGGGGAAGGGGGAAGAGATTTTGAGCACCACAACAATAATAAAGCAACAGGGATGACAAGAGAGGCTCACAAGGTTGTCATTTGCCTTATTATTTTGCAAGCACTTTGATGTTAAGTTCATCTACTGTCCTCACCATTACTGCAGTTCTGAGACCTTTGAGGGTTTTCAAAGCTCTGTCCCCTTGTGTTGTAGGAACAAAGCCCAGGCTCTGGGTCTGGGAGAGTCTCCCAGTCCTGTCCTGGCCAAGGGCCAGGTTTACCCTGTGACTCATTCAGTCATTCATGAGAGGTATTAGGGCAGCCATCAGGAGTATAAAGGGCCGCATTCTGGACAGTCACCACCACTGGAGCTCCTTCTTCCTTGTGAAATAAGTGACCAGTCCACAGCAGCTTCCTGAACCATGAAGCTGGTAACAGTCCTCATGTTGACCACCCTGCCCCCGTACTGCTATGCAGGTGAGCATGCAAAGGTTTCTGGCTTTGGAGGAGGGCTGTGCTCAGGGCCCCTGTGCAAGTGCTGCTGCTCCCCATTTCTCTAGTGTCAGTGTCCTGTGTATAAGGAGTGGGCATGGGAAAGGACAAGAAAGTAGATGCTTTAAGACTAAAAGTAAATCTCAGGTCCTGACTTGAGTCTCCTAGAACTAAGGACTCAAACCCTTCCCATGGCCTCTCTGAGCAAGTGTCCTTGGGGGAGGTAAGAAAACAGACTCACAGTCAATCCCTTCATGGAGTTCACACCTACGTCACTGAGCCTGCATCTGCATGCTTTCTTCCTAGGGATTGGCTGCGATATTATGTATAATGCGGTAGATATGCTGATTGATCCCGATGTGAATGTGACTGAATACATCAATAACTTGCAAGAGTTCTCACCAAGTGAAGAAACCGAAAAGGCCTTCACATTCATGAAAGAATGCTTTCTGCATCAGAGCAGAGAAACTCTGGACAACGTCCAAGAGCTACAGGTAACTTCGGTGTCTCTTTAACTACTTTTTTTTTTAATTTATTTTTTATTGATTATGCTGTTACAGTTGTTCTATTCCCCCCCTTCATTCCCCTCCACCCTACCCCCCTGTACCCTCATTACCCACCCTTTAGTTTATGACCATGTGTCTCAAGTTCTTTAGATTCTATATTTCCCATACTATTCTTGCCCCCCATCTATTTTCTATCTACTGTCTATGCTACTTATTTTCTGTACCTTCTCCCCCCTTCTCCTCCTCCCATTCCCCTATTGCTAACCCTCCTTGAGATCTTCATTTCTATGTTTCTACTCCTGATCTAGCTGTCCTTTTAGTTTGCTTTTGTTTTAGGTGCGGTTGTTAATAACTGTGAGTTTGTTGTCCTTTCACTGTTCATGGTTTTTTTTTAACTTCTTTTTCTTAGGTAAGTCCCTTTAACATTTCATATAATAAGGGCTTGGTGATGATGAACTCCTTGAATTTGATCTTATCTGAGAAGCACTTTATCTGTCCTTCCATTCTAAATGAAAGCTTTGCTGGATAGAGCAATCTTGGTTGTAGGTCTTTGGATTTCATGACTTGGAATACCTCTTTCCAGCCCCTTCTTGCCTGTAAGGTCTCTTTTGAGAAATCTGCTGACAGTCTGATGGGGACTCCTTTGTAGGTGACTGTCCCCTTAGCTCTTGCTGCTTCCAGGATTCTCTCCTTCATTTTAATTTTGGCTAATGTAATTATGATGTGCCTTGGTGTGCTTCTTCTTGGGTCCAACTTCTTTGGGAGTCTCTGAGCTTCCTGGATTTCCTGGAAGTCTATTTCCTTTGCCAGATTGGGGAAACTCTCCTTTATTATTTGTTCAAATAAGTGTTCCACTGGTGGCTGTGCCTTTCCCCCTTCTGGTACCCCTATAATTCGGATGTTGGAGCGTTTAAAGATGTCCTGGAGGTTCCTAAGACTCTCCTCATTTCTTTGAATTCTTGCTTCTTGACTCTTTTCTGTTTGGCCATTATTCGCTTTCTTCTGGTCCACTCCATTGATCTCAGTCCCAGTTTCCTTTTCATTGCTATTGGTTTCCTGTGCAATTCCATTCATTTCAATTAGTTTCACCTTCATATGTTTGTCTAATTTGTGGCTATAATCAACCAGTTCTGTGAGGATCCTGATGACCAGTGTTTTAAACTGTGCGTCTGAGAGTTTTGCTATTTCTTCATCGCTTAGATCTATTGGCTCTGGGGCTTTGAGATCTTCTTGAGCCATTTTTGGACTGTTTGCGCTGTTAAGTATGAGGAGCGGAGCCTTGGACTCCCAGGTCGCTGGGTTGTGATGCTGTTTGTGGAGGCGGGGTCAGAGCAGGGAAATGGCGGTCCCCTCTGCTGTTTCTCACAGCTGGGTGAAGAGCAGAGCCTTAGGTTGTTCAGTGGGGCAGGGCCACTTAGGTCGCTGGATTATGACGCTGTATGTGGAGGCGGGGTTAGAGCGGGGAAATGGTGGCGCCTTCCACCGCCGCTTGCCGCTGGGGCCGCTGGCTCTTGTCCAATTGCCCACTCCCTCGCTTGTCTATCCACACGCGAATGCGCGAACGCGTGACCACAGTCAACCCGCAGCCCTGCTTCCTCGCTGTTTCCCCGAGATTGCTTACCCCTGAGTTGCCTACCAGGTCCAACCCTGTGCCTGGATTCCATGCGCCTGAGTCCGTCTGACCGTGTTTTCCTGTGCTACTCTGCTTTGCCAGCTGCTGGTTTCGCCCCTCTTACCGGTCAGGCTGAAGAATTTGTTGTTATCAGACTTCCGAAAAGTTCAATTTTCTATGTTCTGGCTGTGTTTTCTGTTGCTATTATCTAGTTGTCTCTAAACTTGGTTGTGTGAGGAAGCACAGCATCTCCACCTATGCCTCCATCTTGGCGGAAGTCCTTCTCTTTACTTTTGATCTGTGGGACAGGACACTCAGGCTCTCAGTTTGTGACAACTCTTTGAAGCATGAGATGGTCATGCTTGTCAAGAAGATTCCCTCCATCTTATTAACACAACCTTCAGTTTACTGTGCAGCAACCTAGGTTTGCTGGCACCAGTGTTTGGATTCCTTGACCGTGAATTAAAGGCCAAAAAGTGACACATAGAAACCATGGTTGTGAATCACCCCTGGGTGGTGGGAGAGTTGAAAAAAGAAATCAGTGGTTTCACATCCTACAGTCTTTCCACGTGTGACAGATGTTGTGTAGTGTATTCTAGCGCTCATTTCCTGCCCTAATATATGGTTTGCAACATTCCCAGGTAACCATCTGGATGTACTGCCACAGCAGAAAGAGGAAGTGCACATTGCTAGGACATTCCTGACACAGGGGATGGCACGTATGAACTTTGAATTAGTATGGGAAAACAAATGAGCCAGTCACCAAAAGACAAATATCACACTTTGTAGAGTAGACAATCTCTTAGACACAGAGGTTGAAGAGTGGTTTACAGGGCAGCTGGGGAGAAAATTGGCAGCTGGGGAGGGTCTGAAGCTGCATCTCAGCACAAAGAAAAGGTCCTGGAATTCAGGTGGACTTCTAAGTGCATGTTCATCACATGATTAGCTGTGCATTGAAAGTGGTGAAAAAGTAACATTTGTATGTGTATGCGATGTAAGTAAAAATTTTAAATTATCAGCTTCTTCAGTTCAACATGATGGGTATTTTCTTTCAGTTCTCAGTTAGACAAATAAGAAGGAATACAGATCTCCAATGTGTTTTCGCCCACAGGGGCTAGGTGGGTGGCATGGGCTGTTGGCTCTTCTTCTACCATGCAGGAACTCAGAACTTCACTTTCTCCAATTTTTGGACTGAGGTACTAAAAACGAAAACACAGCGTATTGTTGGCTATATTATTTCAAAGAAGAGGAAACCTGCAGATAACGTGACCATGGGAAAAATTGCTGGCTGGGGGACAAGATAAGGCAGCACCAGCAGCCTCTGGCATCACTCATGGTCACGCGAGAGAACAAATGTGACAGTTCTGCATTCTTTTCCAGCACCAGCTTCCTGTCAATGCATGTGGACCAATGCAGGAAAAAAATTAGGATGCATGTTTGTTTCTCAAGATGTTCCTTGGGAAGAACAAATGAGATGTAAATGATGTCTCTGTTTTTGTTTTCCAGCAAGCAATTTACAGTAGCTTTTGGTGTGCTCGGTACTAACTTCCACACAACCTGGAGATTGTCCCAAAACTGACTGTTCACAGGTAGAAGCCACAGCTTAGCTTTCCTTCTTCATCTTTCTATCTACAAATGCAAGACAATTGTTAAAACCTCACATACAAACCTCAATAAAGCACCTGCAAAATACAAGTTATTTCTTAGTTGTTGAATATAATGGAGGCTCTAGGGAAGCTCTCATTACACATGCATTTCTCATACACAGGCATGTGCACACCCTCCAGTGCACAATCATTCTTTTCACAACTCAAGGGAAAAATGCTGAGAATGTCCTTCATCCCACATAGCCCAACACTGAACCTGTCTCTGGTGTGTGACTGTCCTCCTCATGCCCTGCCCCCAGGTCCATCTGGGTACTTTCAGGTTCTCAGGTCATAGTGATGGTGGCCTTCTCAGGTTCCCAGATCCATGGAGGCCCTGAGTCAACCCTGTGCCTGCTTACCATGGCCAGGCTCCCCTCTGGGCTTTCTCTGTCCTAGACCCTAGGCCTCCAGGCAGTGCTGACCAAGACCCTCACCATCTGTGTGAGTGAAACCTCCACCCATTGATGACAAAGATCCTCACCTTCAATTCACACCCCAAGAGAAAAACTCTCACTTCACAGGTGAACCCCTATGGATGAACTTTCCCCTAAACAGTGAACAAAGGTCATCTCCTCCTCTTGACAAGGCACTGAGCCTTGCCTGAATGTCCACTTTGCACACTTGGGTTCTACATTGGGCTTCCTCCTGGGACAGTCAGGCATCTGTGGTGGCCCGTGTATGCCAAGTGGTGGCTCATGTATTTTTCTCTCTTACCCCCTGAAGTGTGCCCCCACTGAGCCTGCCTCCACTGGTTACTGGAGAGCTTCCCAGGGGATGTCAGTCAGGGAGTGCACTGGGCACTTATGCCTCAAAGATGCTTTCACACCTTACTATCCCACTCACATTACCTTAATCCCTTTCCAAAAATGTTCATTTTCTAGTTCTTTTGGGCTGTTTACACCTGTTTTGTTCCCTCCCAGTTTGGTGCATTTTCACAGGCATGGATCTACCATATTTCACATTGGACAGTTTCCTGGGAGTCAACACCCTCATCTGGGGTCCACATACCACCACTTGGCACAAACACCCTGGCACCAGTTCTTCCCTGCCCCCATCTCCAACATGACTTCCAATAATTCAGTCAACTTTGTCCTCTGGCCATTGCTGATGTGTTGGCACAATCCACATGATTCACAGAGACTTTTCCCAGGAATGCAGGCAAATGTCTTCTGACTGTCCTCCAACTATATCATGAGTCAAGAGGGGCCCCTGGAAACACATGAATACATAAAGGTCCCCTTAGCTGAACTGGGGGAGCTTGGATGTGTCTTGAATCGGTGGGAAAAACGTGGTTTAGGAGCCCAATCTGGGGAGTTGGGGGGTATTCTGTGCCCATGAGATCCAGGGGCTGACTTCTGGTTTTGCAGCAGATCCTTGAAGCTGCCATTGCTCAGGGTCCTGAGGCCTCTTCTTTCCAAGCCAGTGACCACACTGATGAAAGCATGGCTATTTCAGAGACTGCAGTCATGCTTCTTCTTCTGACTCCCCATCACAGACCTTTTTTTGCTCCCTCCACATGTCCACTCCAAGTGCAGACATGTGGACTCCTCTCCAAGTGGACCACATCAACCAGTGAGCAAAGGCCAACTTGTGCATGTGCGTGCAAAGCACGCAACATGTGTTCGAGAGTTTGTGGGGAAAAGGGGTCCTTAGTTCACTGTTGGTGGGATTGCAGACTGGTACAACCATTATGGAAAACAGTATGGAATTTTCTCAGAAAAATAAAAATCGACCTGCCTTTTGACCCAGCAATTCTGCTGCTAGGATTATACCCAAGAATCCTAAAACATCAATTTCAAAGAACCTATGCACCACAATGTTCATAGCAGCACAATTTACAATAGCCAAGAGTTGGAAGCAACCTAGGTGCCCATCAGTAAATGAATGGATCCAAAAATTGTGGTACATATACACAATGGAATTCTATGCTGCAGAGAGAAAGAAGGAGCTACTACCTTTTGCAACAACATGGATGGAACTGGAAAGCATTATGCTGAGTGAAATAGGCCAGGTGGTGAAAGACAAATACCATATGATCTCACCTTTAACAGGAAGCTAAACAACAAAATAAACAAGCAAGCAGAAAAAAAAAAAACAAAGACACTGAAATAGAGAACAAGGGGACAGTAACCAGAGGGGAGAAGGAAGAGAATTTAAGGGAGAAGGGGGGAGGGATTTGGAGTAACAAATATGAAGGATGCAGGGACAAGAGCTGGGGGGGGGGTGGAGATTGGAGGGAGGAGGGGAGCACGGGAGGGGGGCTGGAATGGGAGAAATAGACAAAATAGCATACTTGAAAATTAACTAAATAAAATTATTTTTAAAAAATCAAAATAAATTTTATATACCAACTTTCAGGATTAAGAAAGAATGTGGCCCTGCTTTGTCTGATCACCTCTCTCACTGGCTCAGTTCCCCTCCTGGCATCTTGGGTCTGGGATAGAGAATGCCGCCTGACCAGCTTTTGGGAACAGGACACAGTAATCTCCCTGTCCCTTAGAACTTTTCACCCCCCTGTTGTGTGTTTACCAGTTTGAAGACCAAAACCCTCGGCTATCCCTGGGAGGTCATCCTGAGACCTGAGGGACATGTGTGCCTGTGCATCATGCTGAGGGCAGAGGTCGAAGACTCTGTGTGCCCTGGGTAAGTAACATCCATCCCCACCCACCACCTTCCTGTATCCTGAGTTCCAATATCCCTTATTAGGTTTTTAACATCACAGAAACAGTGACTCAGAGGTGATCATGAAACAGTACATGAAGTGATTGAGAAGTAATGAACTTATCTTAACTGATAGAAATCTCAGTGAGGCCAGTGCCAAATTCAGCATACTCTGTCAGCACTTAGGAGAAACAGACACTTCTGTTGGCAGAGTCAGTTAGACGCACCCTGCTGTTTGACTTGGGAATGAGATGGTTTATTCTGTGTGACTTAATCTTTACGCTTGTTCCTCCCTGATGTAAGTGTAAGAGTTGACACTGATCCCCAGACACGGAGTGCAGCATGTTTTTCTCTATTGATCCATTCATCTCAACACAAGTCCTCTGAAATTGGTACTAAGATATCACTTGTACTTTACAGGTGAGGAAAGTGTGACTAAGAGGGTCAGTACCAGCTGAAGACCCATGGATAGAATATCCCCGAGCTGACCTTGAATCCACTAGTCTAGGCCCAGACTCAGGCTTCTCCTCACTAACAAAAAAATGCAAACATTCTAATTTTTGAGCTATGCAGACCACACTTTAGAATTCAAAACAGAGCACACCTGTCCTGCTATGGCTCTGGAGGGAGCAGCATTGAGTCTGTAGAATTATTTGAGAAGAGTGGACACCTGTAAAACTGTAAATGTTTTCTTGAAAGACAAAGTGTGTGGCTCTGTAAGTAAAGTTTCAGAATTTTTCCTGAACACACTGTGGATTTCTGCAGGTCCATTTCAGTATCATGCTGCTGGCACTGCTTCTGTTGCCACAGTCCCGCTTTTCCCACAACCTTGTGTGATGGGAACAGCTGAGCTATAGGAGAGGAGTCACTTGTTCTCTGCTGAGCACGTGTTCAGCTAATGTTAGGAATTCTTATCAGTTTCAATAGTTGTCTTTAGTAGATTATCTTAAACGTTTAATGCACCAATTAATTTTTTAATTAAAATTTTATTGTATTTTTCCCATTACCTTTAGGTCCCCTTACACCCATCTCCCCCCAGCAATTGCCTCTCCATTGCACAAGTCCATGATCCCAAATCAATTCACTCTGGAGAAATCCTCACTTGATGAAGTGCATATTGAATTTAGAGAGAGCGGGTGGCAGGGAAAGAGAAAGGGTGAAAAACTTGAATATGACCAAACAACATTGATTGGCTGCATTGTCCCATGTCCTGACCAGGAATCAAACGTGGGACCTTTGTGTTTATGTGATGTCCCTCCAACCCTCTGAGCCACATTGGCTAGGGCTCATATGTTTTTATAGAGAGTTTTTCCTTGTGTGAAGAGAATGTTTTTTACAGTATCCTACTGTTCTTTTTTAATAGACAATTTTAGAGCAGTTTAGGTTCACAGAGATATTGAGCAGCAAGTGCAGACTTCCACATGCATCCCACTCATGACCATGCACAACCTGCCTACCCCCCCATCTACAGCCCCACCAGACAGGGACATGTGTCAAACTGACGAACCACTATTGACACATCAGCATCACCTGTGGCCCATTATCATTTGCACTTGTGTTGTACATTCCATGTGCTTAGTGAAGTTTACAATGATGGGTACCCACCCTTACAGTGCAGAGAGTTTTCCTGCCCTCCAGTCCCTCTCTTCCCTCTCTCTCTCCAACCACTGGAGACCCCTGAGGAATCTTTCAATGTCTCCATGGCTTTGACCTTTCCCAATGTCTGACATTGCAATGTCTTCCCATTGTAAGCCCTAAGGGCCTGGGAGATGCTGAAGCCACTCAGTGGGAGAAGCCTGGGCCCCAACAAACCCTCGAGGTCAGGATGTGTCCTGGATAGTTGTGTGGGAGCTGTAGACTCCAGGTCAAGGCAACAGTTGTTCAGAGTGTCCATCACAGAGAACTGTGTCGTTGGTGATACTGTTGAGAACACTGGACCATGGGGATAATCAAAGGCAGTGGAATTATTTCCATTTTATTATTATTTCTCAGTTCTCCACAGACAGTGCACCCTTCATTGTCCACACCCCTGGGGCACTACCACTGCCCCACCCTCAGACCTCAGCACATCCTGCAGCATGTCCCCTCTGCTGGCCTCTGCACTGCACCCAGATGTCAGAATGATAAGGCACTATTTTTTAATGCAATGCAAAGAGAAGCATAGTGAGATGATGATAGATGTGTGTTCTGGAGGAAAAGGAAGATCAGGAACTCAGAGGAATGCACACAACAAATTGA